TTCAGTCACGTCTGACAGCACGGCAAACTTTTAGCCCTGTCCACGAAGAGTTGTGAAGACTTTAATAGGGAAATTGTAGCTTAGAAGTAAGTTTTGTAGCGCCCAGCGAAGCAGTACGTTTTAAAACCTTTCCTGCAGTTTTAAAGCCTTTCCTGCAAATCAAATTCTTGGTCTGTAAACTCTTTTTGTTTAATTTTTAAAAACAGCTTTGCAGACCCTGGAAGTCCCTAGTGTCTCTCACCCACCCACTTCAAAAAAAAAAAAAACTCAGACACCAGCAAAGGCCATGCAACATTTGCAACGCCCTGGATCTGCGAGAACGCCCTTGCAAAGAAATTAACGTTTTATATCAGATCTACAGAAACATCACAGTAAAATGCATGTGAGAGTTAAGTAGCTCAAGAAACTGGAGCGCGGAGCAGCACCGCAGAATCCGTGGTTTTATTTTTGTATACTGATTTCTGGTGTGTGTGTGTGTGTGTGTGTGTGTGTGTGTGTGTGTGTGTGTGTTGCTACATGCTTTTGGCACCTGATTTTTTTCCCCCAACGCCCGCGACGGTTCTCCATTACCCTGGCCCAGGGCGCAGGCCGCGACAACCTCGACCTCCCTCGGGGAGAGCGAGGGACACGGGCCGCGGTGGCGGCTTCAGGCGAGCGGCTCAGATCCCCGCGGCCAACTGTTGTCCTCACTCGTCCGCGGAGCAGGCGGCCAGCACCGTTGAGCCGGCTGAGTCGGAGTCGGACCCCGGGTTGGCTGGAAGCTTCCAGGACAGCCCCCTCCCAGGGCAAGCGCGCTTGGCAGCGCCTCCACAACGCTGAGCGCCTGGCTGCCCACCTGCCTCGAGCCGCCCCCCCCCCCCCGGCGCCCCGGGGCCCCTCCTGGCCTGAGTCCCGTGCCCAAGACTGTGGCCGCTGCAGGCTAGTGCTACCCATTGCTATTCCCGTCCAGCACCCACTCGGTTTGAACCCTGCTTGCTCGCAGATTTGTCCCACCCGGGACAGGGAGAGAGAAAGCAGCCGCGCTTATTTTCTTAGACAGCGTTCAGGCGCTATTTTTGTTATGATATTTTGCAAATGTACAGGAAATATGCAGGAAAGTTGAAAAAATACAACAAGGAATGTCCGTTCCCACCCCCACCTGGATGTAACAACCGTAACATATTGCAGCACTTGCTTCCCCCTTCTCTCTCAGAATGTGTGCTTGTGTTAACTGCATCATTTGAAAACTGAGGACATCATGACATTTCAGTTCTACAAGCATCTGCTAAATAGAAGGACGTCCTCCTGCTTACTGTCAATACTATTCACACACCTAAGAAAATGAACGCTCCGTCCCTAACAGCCTCTAGCATCCAGACTAAGGGCTCGGTTTCCTCCTGTTTCCCCACCTCAATCTTAAAATCAGTTTCCCTTCTTGGACTGGGACATGTGTAGACAATTGTTCTCTCCCTCTGTGCTGTCCCCCAAAGCGGACAGCCAGCACGTAAAGGGCTCGTCTGGTCCCAGGGGCCTCTGTCCCTGAGAGCCTGGCAGGATGGCGTGGGCAGGGGAAACCCGACAAGTCTGGACTCAAACACTTAGGGAGAGCTCTGCACTCACGCGGTCCGGGGCCCCGGGATCCACCCCCAAACCATTTCAGGCACCCCCGGGAAGCACAGCGTAGAGGCTTTGCTCAGCCAACTTGCGCCCTACTGGCAGCTCAGTGGGCACCGCGAGGGGACCTGTGGGCTCAGGGTGACGTGAGTCCTGTTGGTCTCCGGGTGCGTGCTGCGCTACCTTGTGTGCTAGGCTTTACCGTTTTCCATTCTCTCTTTTTTTCCTCCCTGAGCCCCTGCTATTCATCTTTGGATCGGCTATTTGGGCGCCCTGTGCCCTTCTCGGTCCTTCCCGGCTTTGGGCCAAGGCCGTGGCGTCGAGCGCCTGCACAACCCCCCTTCCCTACCGCTCCCTCTCTTCCCCACCCCCCTTCCGCCCCCGGGCCCCGGAGAAGCGCGGGGAACAGGGGCGGGGGGAGTGCGAGCACCGCGTGGCCACGCCCCCGGAGCCGGCTTTTTCTAGGGCCGCTCCCGGAGCCTCTCCACTGGCTGCCCCACTCGCCTCCCTGGGTGCGCACGGCTCCGGCCCCTCGCTCCGCTCGGCCTCCGCCACACCGTTCTCCGAGCTTCGGCTGCAGCCAGCCAGAGAGCTCGCCCTTCGCGCCGCCACCCCGGCTCCCGGCTCTCTGCGCCCGGCTCTCGGTCCTTGCTCCTGGTGCCGGGCCCCTCGCGCCCGGCGATCTCGCCGCCTCGCAAGTCCCGGCCCTGCTCCCCGCCCAAGCCCGCTCTCTTGCTATCTGTGCCCCCCCTCCCCGCGCGCGCGCGCGCACACACACACACACACACACACACACACACACACACACACACACCCTTCCTTCCTCCCTCTCTCTCTTGCTTGCTGGCTTGCACGTTCACTAGCTCTCAGACGCGGCGAAGCAGCTTCGCAGGAAAATCCCAGAAACCTTTGCAAAAAGCTGACAATGAAATTTAAGAAGTTCTTCGATTTCGGCGCCATTTTCGAGTGGATCGAGAGGTGACATACGGTTTTTTTTAAGGGAGTTGTTGTTTGGCATGCTCCCCCCCTCCCCGTAACTTGGGTTAGGGCAGACTGAAAAAAATCTGGTGACAAGGCTGAAAAAGTTTTGTGTTGCTTTGGGGTTGTAAAGCACGTTCGGGGGCCGGGGTGCGGGCGAAACAGACCTTGAAAGTGTTTCACACACGAGTGCGGCTGGGAAAATTCTTAGGAAACGGGCTGAAAAAAGCTAACGTGGAGGGGCGGGGAGAGAAAACTGAGTAAGGGGCAGCGACCGACTGTCAGCCTCACCAGGGTCGGGTGCGACTGGTTTTGACAGAGTGTAAACGGACTTTTCCTGGCTCTTCTTGGCAAGCCATAAACTATTTCTTGGAAATAAATGTTTGATTGATTTTGCATTGTTTTATCCCAATTAAAAACTTTCAAGGTTGTTCAGTTTTCCCTGTAGGAAACTTGACATTGGGAAAGTTTGGCACGAGTGCTCCCAGGGAAGGGACATCATGCATTTCCGAGGTGGGAAAGAAGTCTTCTGCAAAAATTAAGACAAAACGTTGTAAAATAGGAACGGAGAAAGAGCCGTATTCTTTGGCTCTTAAATGATTTGGCCAAACAGATCCGTTCAGAAGGGGGGTGGGGCTATGGGCAACTCGAAAATATTGATTCTTTGTCTATTGTATCAGCGACTGGCCCTCTCCTAAAGTGACAAGACGCCTCTTTGTAATCTCTTTTCGTAAGTAAATTTCAGTCAAAGGGGAAATCTGCAGTCTAGGGGAACGAAGTGGCTTTTTACGAATGTAAGTCGTTGTACTGTCTTGGGAGAGTACAAATGAATTCGATTACAGTGAGCAGAGTTGGCAGGAAGGGACCTTCGCCTTTGACACCATTGCTATTTCAAATGAACTTTTGTTTTCTAAGTAGTCAACTAAGGAAATGTTGAATTTGGGATGACTTAAACATCTGATGGGATGATTCAGATTAGTGTGGAACTTAAATTTTTAAATGGGAAAATGTTGGGGGCTTTTAAAGTATAACTGTACATTTGCTAAACATCTCTTTTTTTTCTTTTTAAGGACAACCAAGGACGTTTTTCTCCATTAATTCCAAAACTCAATGTAAAAGTTGTAAATAGCATAACCAAAACAAGATGGGAATTTAGGGACAATTTTATGTTTCACTTTAGGGAGTGGGGTTGTTGTTATCATTAATAACTTTGTTTACCATGACATAAATAGTGTATTTGGTAACACTGGATTGTAGTCTGGTGTAATCTCATTAAATACTCTGCAGATTTTATTAAGTAATAAATAGGACACAACATCACTGTACTGGTTTTGAGAAACCGACATAATTTTTCAATGAACCAAAACACTAAGCAGACTCGGATACTTTAAGTGTCTATTACTTGTATTGAAATGTATTTTAACTTTCAAAACCATTAGAGTTTTGTGCTGGTTTTGTTGTTTTAACTTTCAGGTCTGTGATTGTGGGTTACAGTGTAGTTTTCTTCTGTGCTTAATTGACTATTTCGTTTAAACAGTGGGGGAGGATGCATGTAACTCATTTTAAAAAGGAAAAAGTGGTATCTAATGAGTTAATCATTAAGGAATATGCAGAGTGCCAGCCATTTCAGGACATGAAAGAGTTTTTGTGGAGCTGCTTGAGACAGGAAGGACTGATTTGACATGAAGTATTTAAAGGTTTTGATTGATGTTTTTGGTAGGTGACATTGAAAAGTATGAATTATAAATAAGTTTGAGTGACCAGTTTCATATATAAACAGCCAGGTATTTCATCTAAGGACAGTTATCTCTCTTTCTTTTAATATCTTTAAAAATGACTCAAAGGAGGATGTTTGCTGTAAGAATGAAGCACTGGCGGGTTAAAGAGGACATCTGATGCTTGGATGGATGGATCTGTATTTCCCAGCTGTCCTATATGTTAGAATCAGCCGAAGTTGCCAGAGACGTTTTGGTGATCTCTTTTAAGTCAATAAATGAAAAGTTGTTATCGTGTTGTTGTTTTAATGGGGACATTGAATGAGACTTAGGAATTCTAATATACAGCAGGAAGAAGTTTCACTAAGACTTTGAAGCTTCCAAGAGCGATCCAGGTGTTGCCAAAATGCCTCAATTTATTTTATCTTATTATTATTTTCAGAGGTAAGATTCTTTCCCACCCTCATTCCTACATCCCACCTCTGCATTTCACCTCTACACTTTTCCAAGATTCATCCTCTGGGAAAAGAAATTGAGAGTCACACCCTTTGCTCCAACTGCGAATCCTGGAAATCAAACTGTGAAGCTCTAAAAAGTATGTCTATTTGGAACGAAGTGTCTTCGTCATAGGTTTTGCTTTATTCCTCGCCAGTGGGCGGGGCGGGATGGGGCTTCCTTTCAGTCACCGTGTCTTTCTCAACCTGCAGGCACCCCAGAGCGATCCCCCTTCGTGGACTCCGAGGGGATGCAGCAGCAATTCATGTTTTGAAGTGCTTTAAAAGGTTCAAAACGTGAGGCGCTGCTATACCCCCTCGCGAGGAAGTTGGAAGGTGGGGTTCTGCTGGACGCGTGTTCCTGCGAGGCGACCGCTCCCAAGGCCAGCTCAACAGCAGGTACGTGGGCGGGGGCTTCGGTCTCTTCTTCTTTGCTCCATGCCCTTCCCCACCCACGAGACACCGCCAGAGGGGGGTGAGGGGAGGACGCCACTGCTCTGTGGGGGCTTGGGGCGGTGGGGGGACCGAGCGTCTGTGGTGCGCGCCCAGGAGGGACGTGGTGCCCGCACTCAGCCGTGCCCTAGCAGCGGGAACACTACTGCAGTGGGCGATCGGTGCTCTGGAGTATTGTTTCTGCTGCCCGGGCAAGGCTGGGACTCCCGCACGGGCTCACCCACCAGGTAAGTTCTAGTGCAGCGCTCGCAGTGTCCCCCCTGGGAGCTGCTAGAGCTAGGTTAGCGCTTTGTCCTACATCAAATGTTTGCCCGTCTTTGAATACGTAAATGACAGATGCTTCATTTTAGCAACCTTTTCTCTGCCCTAGAAGAATTGAAGCGATTGAAAAAAAAAATCCCTTCCTGATCCATTAGAATGCCACCCACACGACAAAAAACGAGGAAAGACTGCATTCAGGCCCCAACAATTAAATAGGGGCGCGGGGTGGGGGGGGAAGATAGAGAAAAGAGTAAGGGCCGAAAGGTAGGGGGTGATCCGCTGCAAGCAGTCCCGAAGCCGTTCTTCGGCTACTGATAAAGGGCCTCTCGTTCTGAGCGTGGAAAGGACTTTGGAGGCCAGGAAAGATGAAAGTTTCTGGCCCCTCACTCTTCCGTTCCCCCTAGCTGTGTTGCGGGGAGCTGCCGTCGAACTCCGACGGCGGAGGATCGGACGAGGCGCTGGGCCTTGCAGGCGGTGACTCCCAGGCGGCATAGGAACGCTCTGACCTGCGGGATCTAAGGCCTGCAGGGAGCGTGGGGACCCCACGGGGTGGCTCCAGAATAAGACTCCTGAGTTTCTAGCTGCTGCTTGTCCTCCCGCAAAATCGGGCCCTGGAATTCCACTCTGGAGGCACTGTACCAAGGAGGCCACCTTGGTCGCCCCGGGGGCCTCACAGAAGGGATTGCCCCAGTGGGAAGGCACTGGCTTGACAGTTCTGGAGAAAATGGCAGCCTCTCAGCCGTCGACTGAGGGGTTGTTCGTACCTCCAAAACTGCGGGCACTGTTGGTAATTAGTGCGGCACATCTGTCGACCTCTAAAACCACCTCCGCCCCTCACTGGGGGTCCCAGTCGGCTAGGAGCTTGACAGCTAGGAGCTTGACAGCCGCCTAAAAAAGAAAGGACTCATTCTCTGGTTGAAGCCTGCCTTTGCTTGTGAAAATCACTTAGATATTTATTTTTGACCTGGTTAATCAGGAGGTAAAGGACTATTAGAAAAGACAAAGGGGGACGTGGAACATTTTCATGCTTTATGTCCTCTTAAACAAACCCCTCTCTGGTCTGGATGGGCTGCTTGGAACTGATCCTCCCGGGGCCAGAGTGGGGCCCCTGGAAGGGCTCCGGTCGGGGGAGTCAGGAGGGTGCAGGGGCCCCGAGCTGGGAGTCTGGCTCAGCGGCCTGCTCTCCCAGACTCCCTTGCGCCTGGGGCAGGCGCGGGCGATTTGTGACCCTTCCTGCCGCCGCGGACCCTCGGGCTCCCTGGGGCCCAGCGGCCGCCGCCCGCTTGCCGCCACCACGATCTCCAGGCTGAGAAGCCCTGAAATGGGTTCCCTCCCGTACCCCCAGGTCGGCCCACGGCCCTTCAGGCCCGCAATCCTCAGGCCTGGCAGGCGAACAGGTTCCCGTCCCCCGCCTGTCTCTGCACGTGGGGAGGCACCCCGAGGCTGCCCTCCTGCCTCTCACAGGCTTCCCTTCTTCCTTTCTCCCAGCTCTGTACCGATCCCCCTCGAGCCAGAAGGAGGCCCGGTGACACACAGCCCTCCGGTAGGACCTGGCTTGCGCCATCCGGCCCCCTCCATTGGGCGCCTGCATGACCCAGGTGAGAGACCCGACGGGTTGGGGACCGCGAGGGGCGGAGGGCGAGGAAAAAGTGACCTTGACTAAGGGGCTTTACCTTCCAGAAGCGCAGTGGCCCTTTGCCCAGGGCCCCCAAGAGGCATCAAGATTGAGGGCGACCACACAGGCCTCTGACTGCGTGGTGCCCTTTCTGACTTAAAATAGTCATCTTGCACCATTCACACGGTCGAAGTTGCATTGTGCCTAGATTTTCCTTCAAGGACAAAAATGTGAATAAAGCAATATTTCAGCCAAACATTTCTGTGTCAATTAAGAAGATGGCAATTCGTTCCAGACTATAAATTCTCTTTAACAACTCTCTAAGGTATTCTTTAAAATTGTTTTTCAACATTGCTAAATATGCATCATAATGTGTGGGACACTTTTGTAAAGTGAAATCAATTTACAGTCAGCTGATTAATTGATCCAATGCTACCACCTTCAAGTAGGCACCTTTCCATTGTTCTCTCATTTTTCCCCAACACATGTTATTTGTTAGTGAGGAAGCTGTATGCATACAGCATTGTAATAAGTTTATTAGACAGGCGTGGCCCTTAAACTAGGAAAACAGTCTAGCTCTGAATTTAAAACTCAACATTTCTATAAGTTGTGGGACAACATATACAGGTTGCTTTTATAAGCTACAATTGAACATAATTTTTTTTTAAAAAATCACAGGAATCTTTTTTAAGGCATCCAACATCTCTAGTTAGCAATACTGACTTTTTTTTCCAACAAAGGAACACTACATCAATACTCTTGACCCGGATCTGGACACAGAAGACTCCTGTTTCAAGAAAATACAATCATCTCTCAAAGTCTGTAATTTATAAGCATTTTTAACTCGCTAGGTCTTGAAAACCACCCAAGTGTCCCACAACATGGGGTAAAATATAATCAATCACTCAGTGTAATATTATACATCCTTTTAAAATGTTATTGGAAAATGTTTTATGATCTGTAACTCGAAATAACCCTCTCCCACCATTTCTTTCTCCCTGCTGCTCCCCCATACCCACGCTTCTTTGTTCCAATTGGCATGTAAACTTATTTTTCCCACCAAATGAGTCAGTCACGATGGGAACGGCAATTGATTTGAACAGATGTGTGTCAATGTTACTTGGGAAACTAGATGCCAATAACCAGGGCCACAAAAATGGCAGTGGCTGCAACTCTGTAAAACTTTATGTGCGCACACAGACAAGGACTAAAGTGGAACCCAAAACAGGAAAATAGTTGGATATACTCCAGTGCTGGGAGATTGAATGATTGTAATCTGCTTTTGATTTCCGTTAATATGGGCAACTGTCCAATTAAAAAGACCTAATAAGGATTCTGCAGTGCAAATTATTTTGCGGATTGTTTTAAAACACCATACCTATCAAGGCAGATGGGGTAGCGGGAGTCTGAGTTTGTTCCCCCCCACCCCTACCCACCCCCATCCTGGACTTCAGAGCTCAGGGAAACACTTGGAGAAAACCTGATCCTACACAGGTGGGAGTTCACTTCTAGGCAACTCTCCTGAGAGACTGCGAAAGATGAAAATAAAAATAGGTTCCCAAAGCATTTTTTGTGAGATCAACGAAAAATTATTGACAGACATGAAAGACTTGACTGAGGGGCTATATCCAAGTTGGCATACATTTTTAGTGCTCTGTTTTCCCACTGGCCTGCAGTATAACATCCTCATAACCCTAGAACTTTATATGTGCATTTGTATTTAGAATGGTGACATTATTCTTAACTGAAAAACAGAGTACATACACACCAGTTATAGTAAACGGTGCATCTCCCCACCACCCTACACCCCAGGCATCCTGCCCTTTAGTTACTTACTGCTCAGTAAGTGAACGAAGATCGGCTAGGTCTTTCCTAATATTTCAGCTATCTGCCACCTGTGCCTTCCTCCCCCACTCCATAATTGATCTCTTTGGCAAGTTCAAAAAGGCTTAGACCCCTGTGGGGGTAGTAAATTGAGCCAGTAGGGAGGAGCGCTGAGAAGACTTCCATTTCCGGTGCCTCCTTAAGCTCTGGCACACGCCCCTTACACTAGAGAGCCCTATAACCTGAGCAGTGCTGGGAGTTTGGAAGGTGGCCCTAGGAGCCCAGAACCGAGGTACTGAGAATCTTGCTTGTTTTGAAGTGTGGTTCTCCCAAGGCAGCTCCCTCACCCATCCCCACTCCCACCCGCTCCCCAGACCAGAGTATTATCTCAAGACCAGACCTTACAAAGGCCTGGCCACAAAAACTACAATAATCACAATCATAGTAATTCCAACATCTTTCTTTGGTATCATTCTTTTACAAGCTTTTCCAAATACTTTCATATTTTCTACTTGAAACAACCTCGAGAGATAAATAGGATAAGGCAGCCAAAAAACCTACAGACAAGAAAACGGGGGCTTCTGCAGGTTAAGGATTTATTTGTCTGAGGCTAGTTCAGGGCCTCTTCCTCCAGACCTCATGCTGGAGGAACTGACAGCACAGTAGTGACTAAAGCAGGAAATGGAGGTGAATTAGTCTGGTTATAAAAATTCGAGGTGAAACTGATTAGTTTTATGATGAGCTTTTGCCAACACACTGGACACTTCCTGGGTGAGGCCCAAGATTGGCCCCAGATTGACTAAATAGTGACTGTAAATTACCCAGCTGTGTTCAAGTAGACATGCACGAGCCAACAAGAAATGATTTAACTTCATTTAAAATCTGGCCCATATTTGATACTTTCTATAATTTCACCTAAATGGAATGTCTAACCATAGGGGTTAACTTAATTTAGTCACTCACTCAATGGAACCTTTTTTTGCCATTACGAATAATAACTGTAAAGACTACATAGAAACCTGGAAAATTTAAAAATCAGGGGCAAAAAAATCACATGGACACCATGGTTGAAAACTGGGTCTGTATAGGAGCAGAAACTGGGAAGAACATGCAACAAACATACTTATTGCTTAACGTGGTGAGATTCTAGATAAAGTTGTTCTCTCACTACTTTTCCATGTGTTTTTGTTATGCCATGTTTTTTGTTATGTCATCAAACATAATTCTCTAAAAAGTCTTTAGCGGTCATGGGCGACACAGAAATTTTGGGTCAAGGATGCATAGACCTCAGACATCTCGGGGATCATCATGTCACGAGAGACCACTGTGCACTTGTGACAGATTGATAACTGAAAGGTCTGGGAGCCACTTATCTTCATAGCAGTATAACTGGTAAGTATTACAGGACAGATTGATGACAAAATCAGGAGAAATGTGGGCCCTGATCAAGGAAGAAAGTGGTTTCCATGGTGGGAGGAGGGGGACCAGTTGTGTTTTAATAGTTTAATGGGAGGTGGGAGTCAGACTTTGTGTCCTTCACTATTATTTTAAGTTTCCTTTTAATCAATTTAATGCATCAGATTTTATATTCACACTAGAATGTTAAATAATTTATGCTCAAACAAACAACTGGAAAAACATTAGCTATAAGTATTGCAGACACAGGGTCATCTTTAATATATTGAGTTCATTTAAGAGGTCAAGAGAAAACAAAAATGACATGACCAAAACGTCACAGAAAAAGAATACATAAAAATGCTCTTTGCAGTATTTTTAAGGATGGAAATTAGGGACATCCTGAATGACCAAGAACAAAGGATTGGGTAAATAAAATATGGTGCCACTAATAAGTGACATGAGAATGTGCTCCTGATTAAATAATTTGGTGATAAAAGAAATGTGCAAATGTTTTGCACTGTTTCCATCTATGCAATCTAAGTATATAGGGAACATTCGGTATGCAGCTTTGTTTCAATATACAGATAAAAGCCTGGGAGGATATATGTAAAAACCTTAATAATGGTTGGTTGCCTCTGAGCTCAAAGAAAGATGCTAAACTATTTTTGCGATGTGTTCCTAATATGTAATATAAATGTATTGGGAACATTTTGCATTCATAGTTTTGTATCAATGATATGGAAAGATGGCTTAGAGGAAGTACACCAAAAGTCTGTCAAAGAAAGATGCTAAACTATTTTTGCGATGTGTTCCTAATATGCAGTATAAATATATTGGGAGCATTTTGCATGTATGGTTTTGTATCAATGTTCAGATAAAAGGTTGGAGGGAGTGAACCAAAAATCTTATAATGGTTGTTTGTGGGTTGTGATATGACAAAGTGATAAAAGTAAGCTACAAAATGATTTTTGCAATGCATTCCTGAATGTGTAATGTAAGTGTGTGGGGAACATTTTTCATTCATTGTTTTGTATCAATATTTAGAGAAAAGGATAGGAAGAAATATACCAAAATTTAATAGTGGTTATTTCTGGGTTCTAGTATTATAGATGATACCTGGTTTTCTCTTTATACTTTTATGTATTTTCCAAGTAATACTTGTATGAACAACAAAATGTATTACGTTTAAAGCAATAATAAAACATTTTATTTTTTAAAAGAGTTTTTTGGGATTTTTTTAAGGCATGGCTCCCTGACCAGGAGGGATGGGGATATGGAGAGAAACTTACTATTTGGGCAGCAATGGGCCTAGAATACATTTTCAAACCTGTCTGGGCAAACCCTATACAGCTTCGGTTGGCTCTGTAGTACAAATGTGTGTTATCATTTACTCTTGGCAAAGGAAAGAGAAAGTATAATTTAAAAATATAACCATGACAGAATAATAATAGTAAAATTGCCAAACAGACTGCTTGCTATCTCCTGTCCAATCAAAGTAACACTTTAAGAAGTACAGAAAGTTGAAGCAGGCGTCTTTTCCTCTAGGAGCAATTCAGGACGGCGGGGCTTGGATGCTTGCCCAGGGCCTCAAGACCTGTTGGCCAGTTTGGGACATGCCTATGTCAAGAAAACACCTTACAGAAAGTCTAATTCCACTTAGCTAACTTTCTGCAGATGCAGATAAAGCCCCCTGCATGTTCCCACCAATTCCGCTGAGCTCCATGACAACCCTGGTGTTGGAGAACACATGTGACATCCGAATTTAGGCTTTCCATGTTCTGATAAGACAGTCAGAACCACCTGGAAACATACCAAGCCCGTGGCCTAACGAGACACCTACCAAGGCTTTGAACGTTCCTCGGTTGCACTGATTTGATCAAAGACACCACGTTAGAAGAGGACCTAGGGTCTTTCTCATCCTTTTAGAAGCACTCTGGGGAAAGTTTTCCCCCGAAAGAATTATTTGCACTCTGCCGCAAGCCCTTATTATTGGACATACTTTCAAATATGTCCGTCCTATTCCTGGAAGCGGAA